ATTCGTCTATAGCTTTTTTGATCATGTCGAAGTATTATATTAAAAATCATTGCTGCTTCTATAGAGCGAAAAAAGAAGCGTGAAGAGGAAGGGAACGCCAACGGAACGGAAGATTGCGCTGCTGTGGACAATGAATCGAATTCACCTACTGAAGAGGATGGAGGTCAGTTCACTTGTTTTTTTTTTCATAGATTAGTGCCCGATGCTACCACAGTTCACGAGTAAGGCTGGTGTCAGAGTCCGCGATCCGTCGCAGGTTTCGCTGATTTTCGCGATTCACGCGACGGGTCACGGAAATCACAAGTGCCCGATCAATACTGCAAGGTGTTCTCCAATCCTGCCGCCACTTCTGCTTGATAGTGATGGCTGAATGACGACTGCTCATGATTCCACTTGTTTCATATTCAGTGTTTCAAATGTTCAAATGGGGCACTTGCAATTTTTGCGATCCGTCGCAGGTTTCGCGCAAATCGCGAAAATCGCGTGAATCGCGCAAATCGCGAAAATCGCGTGAATCGCGCAAATCGCGAAAATCAGCGAAACCTGCGACGGATCGCGGACTCTGACACCAGCCTAACGCTTTATTTCCAGCCAACTTTGACTGCTCACAACTTCCTTGGCAGGTTCATTTTGCAGTTTTAGTTTCCATATTTGTAATCAGCGTTTGAAGCTCTATCGATATATCTGGGTTCAATTCAAAGTTCCATGGGAAGTTGAATGCCTTCCCTGGTCAAACCTGCTGCTCACGTTCTTTCACTTTTCCCACCATCGCTGGGCTATTTTGATGCTAAAGATAAATCTTGAACACGCACTCCGCTCTCCAATTTCGAATTGCGCTTAGTTTTTGTGCATTGAGTACATATTGGTATTCCACGCATCCCAGCTTTCATCTGACCTCGTTGAGTGGTTCCTCAGCTTAGTCGTGACAAGCAATCGGTCGGAAACGCTTGAATCGTCTCGTTCGTAATTCTGCTACTCACGTTCGTCCATTTCTCCCTCGGTCGCTGGGTAGAGATAGAACGACGACATCGTTTGTAGTAACTGTTCAATTTGAAACTTTTTTTGTGATATGCTAATTTAGACGCTGCAGTACCAATATCATGGTCTAGCACGGCTACCACTGCTCCCGCTGCTGGCTTTTGCAACGACCTCGTTGAAGAAGAGGAAGTGATCGATGAACTCGACCATTTGACAGAAGTAAGTGTAGTTCATACTTTTCCGCAGCATTACGTAGGAGAATGTCCGGCTAATAATGAGACAACCATAATTGGCGCTGTAAAGCTGTTGTCATCAGGTGCAGATTGGATATGATTCTGCAGCGTTGGCCTACGAAAAGACGGAGGTGATTGTTGTTGTGGGGTGGATCCGCTTGGTTTGGTGGTGGATATTTGCAATTTTTTGCAACCTGTCTACATTTACAGGAAGAGTTGCAAGCTGAACTTGATGAATTGGAGGAGGTGGAAATCGAAGAAAATGAGGATATTGAGCAAGAATCGAAAAGTGATTGTGACAGTAAGTTAGACATACTGTTTTAGTATGTATCTTTCGGTATCTGAAGCAACACTTGACACTTCCAGGTGAGTCTTCTTCATCGACTTACAGTTAGCCTCTGTGCATGCATCGCTCGAAATCTTCTCTACCGTCATTCGTCACTGTTCTCTTACCTGACTGTAGCGATGATGCCCTCCACCTCAACCATATGCTAACGGAAGTCCCAGCGGAACTCCTGGAGTGGAGGTAAGCGGTTCCTTTCTCGTGTTTCTAGAATGATCTTGATCAACTCAGGACTATTTCAACTATTTACAGGTCATTTATTGTTCCTTTTGGTTGCTGGTTCATCGTTTTTTTATTTTGCTAACATCAGTCCTACTTAACGGACTTTGCAGAGTATTACACCTCCTATGGTACTAGCAAGCAGCGACGACACGGCGCAAACTACTGTCACGAGTTGAATGCCAACACCTCTGATTTATCACCCTTGACGAGTGAATCGCAGCATAGCTCAAACAATACAGTCGAAATTCAACCTCCGATCTCTGTTCTTCATCCTAAGGAAAGGCTCAATCAGTGGTTGGACGAGAATCCTTCTTCGCCACACCTTCCAGAGGAAAACATGAACGATCCGCTGCAAAGAAGGGTTTGTTTTCAGCAATACAATTTTTGAAGAATAGCACGTGTCATGTAGAAAATTAAGTTCTATTTAGCACCCTTCACAGTTGAAATTCAGTTGCCTATTTGCTCTTCTTACCTTAGCTTTGCATGTGCCGAAGTAATCACCAGTTGCCAGCACATTCTAATATTAGCTAAGCCAATCTTTTTACGGTTTTTGTAAGCTTCCTAATCAACTAAACTTTACAAACTCAGAACACTCTGGGAATTGCCAGAAATTTCCGAAAAGACTGAGTCAGGCTTTGGTAAGCAAATTTCGTCAGATAGGAACCACTCGCAAAATCGTTATTCGCTGGGGGCGACGACACTGGCAATGAATACTTGGGAGCAGTTCAAGAGCCTTCCGGCGGATCATTGCTAGGGGAGCATTCAAAGAGTGGCACTACAGTAATGGAACTAAGCTTTAGGGAGGAACGGATCCTGGCATTACGTGCGTAGCTTCTTGTCATACTGCGTTGCTCCCCAATGGGCTGGGCTGTAGGTCTATGTTGTCATTCTCGAGCGGTTTTTATGAGCCCTGTTATGAATGCCCCCCCCCCTCAAGTACATGCTTCGTTAAGTCAGCGACATTTTCGCGTTTTGCCTGAAACATCAGTCCACCCTCGTTCATGGAGCGGCGGTTGCCTGGACTTCCTGCAGCGGAAAAATATTTCGCGCTGCGAAACGCGAAAGAGCCGTTTTCTGTCTTAGAGAACCATCCCCCCATGACGACATGAGCGGCGCCATCCCTGTTCCGAAAACTTAAACCTTCAGGTTTCGTGGACTGCTGGCTTAACTTTGATACTACTGAATCGTGCACAAGAAAACAGTTGTTGGCACAAAACAGTTATAACTTGGAGTTATGAAAGACATCTTACCAGGAAGGTCTTTCAGGGCGTGACAAGCTTTTTGAAAACGGTCTTTTGCATGATATAGGGGCAGATGCGGGAACCACAGAACCATGTTTAATTTTTCCTGAACGGCCCTCTGAATACCAGAAAAGGGGGTCCCTAGTTCGATTCCTCGTGGTGACAAATTTTTGCATTTCGAGTTGACGTTCCAAAATTCGCGCAAAATGGAGTTAGCATGAATAATTAGTACCATATTCATGACCAGATTAGTCCCCCGTCAACCGCCGGGACCTTCCTTTCCTGCGCAAGCTTTCTATCCTCCGCTATGGTCCCTTCCTCCTGTGACACCAACACCTCCTGGAAGTGACGCGTATGCAACACAATGGTGTTTCATACAGTAGAAGGGACACAATCATGATATGACGGTAGATTTTTCGCTTCCCTTCCTCATCCTCCCTTCCTCTCTCCACTGCCCTCCAGCTGCCACTGCAGCACCATGTGGAATGAACGGAAGTGTGCTAAGCAGGTGTTTATATAGCCCTAAGAGTGTTATCACAACTATCCTGCTACAAAACATTGATATCTCAAATCCTGTAAGCTACCCGATTTGTTAGCGGTTTGTTTATCCCATGAGCTTCCTTCTCACTCACTTCATTTTGCGGACGGACACACATACATACATACACACACACACACACACACATACAGATACACAAACCGACACACAAAGTTAGCGCTTTATAAAATAGAAGGATTAGGGCCGTCAGTAACTCCTACAAAAAGACTTTGACTTAAAAATTGGTGTAAGAGGTGTGACATCAAGCAGCCCCACTGTGGTGTCACACCTTTTTCACCAGTTTTTTAATCAAAGTCTATTTGTAAGGGTTACTGACGGTCCTAATCATGAATATGGTACTAATTATTCATGCTAACTCCATTTTGCGCGAATTTTGGCAACGTCAACTCGAAATGCAAAAATTTGTCACCACGAGGAATCGAACTAGGGACCCCCTTTTCTGGTATTCAGAGGGCCGTTCAGGAAAAATTGAACATGGTTCTGTGGTTCCCGCATCTGCCCCTATATCATGCAAAAGACCGTTTTCAAAAAGCTTGTCACGCCCTGAAAGACCTTCCTGGTTAGCATAAAAACGCCGAGTTAGAGTAATTAACAACAAAATCGGGAATCAAGCATTGCCGAGTAAAACTGTAGGCGTCCGGAAGTGCGCGCGCAGTTCCAGTACATAGTATTTGACCATCTATTGTAGTATAGTCAAGCTGCAATCATAATATATGCAAAAAAGGAAAGTTTGAACCCGCACCTGGTGATGAGTTGCTCTTTTGACATGCAGATCTGACAACTAGTTTGAATTGGTAGGCGGCTTTGAAAAAGACGGATATATTTTTACACGTCTTCACATGTCAAATAAGGTTAACACGTTGCATTAAAAGGCAAATGCTAAAGCTAAATGCTAAATGCTTACTTTAAGAACAAGCTTTTAACCCTTGAGAACGCAGAATAATGTTATTCTCACATGCATCAGCTCATAAAATGTGATTATTTTTTGTTATATTCTTGACGGTAGCCTGTAACCTTCTGATTTCTGTTGTAAGTTTAACAAATTTTCTTGTGCCTTACGAGGTTGTTCGGTGGAACCTTTTATTAATGGCCTAACGTTTCGACTGAATCGTCGTCTTCAGAGGCCGTCGGTTCCACCCTTCGAGCGGAAAAGTCCGCTGCCACACAGAGCGCTGATCAGTTAGAACTGTTAACTGAGTTCTAACTGATCAGCGCTCTGTGTGGCAGCGGACTTTTCCGCTCGAAGGGTGGAACCGACGGCCTCTGAAGACGACGATTCAGTCGAAACGTTAGGCCATTAATAAAAGGTTCCACCGAACAACCTCGTAAGGCACAAGAAAATTTGTTAAACTTACAACTGACATGCCGAGGTTACAAGAAGAGAGAAGTTGGAGAATTCTTCTGATTGTGTTATCTTTATCTTGTGATATGCAAATGGTTGACAGATATGCATATGCTGCGGAAGCTTAGCTTTCATAGTGTGACTCCCTAAAAACTAAACCATTCGAAATCAATTATATCCAGACGGATGACTCCGACATGATGGATCCTCCAGTGTCTGGTATTGACGAAATCGCGAGGCAGAACTTCTGCCGTCGGCTGCATTACTTCGCCGCCAATGCCCTGCAGAGCTGCTGTCACCACGTTACATCAGGACGAAGCATGACACTACGAGTTGGTCTTTTCGGCTTCGTAAATTTTTTGGCTTTCCTTTTCTGTACATACGCTTGTGTAATAAAAGCCCGAAGGCTTTCATTGGCCAATCTCTTTGAAATTCACCTTGATTTGGGAATTGAGAGGAGGAGGGACGTAGTCGGCGGCGAGATGCGAAGCCTGACTCAGCTTGCTAATCGAGTGGTGGTTCAGTGGGAAACGATGAAAGTTAGGGGAGTGGGGCCTGTCAAGGCGGGAGAGGAGATCATTCGACTGCTCGCCGCACCGTCCACTGGACCTCTTACATCTACAGTAGCTGGCTGAAATCTGTGAACATTCGTTGTTTTCTCGCTGAAAAAAAAAGTTCTGCTCATGATATGTGCTCCTTATTTACTAACACACTGGCACCTCAATAATTTTCGGCGTAATAACTTCGTATAGCATACATTATACGAAGTTGTACGATAGCTTATAAATAAGCATTCATGTGGAAAACACTCAGTAGGTTCTTTCTCCTTATGGCATAATCGCGTTGCACTTGAAGTTAATCGAAGAAGTAGTCCCGGAACCGGAATCAGCGGTATGTCTGGTAGAGTCAGAAGAATAAGGGTTGAAAAAATGGTCGTGTCTGTGAGTTTAGAGAGGAGATTAGCGTTGGCGAAGTGGAGTTGAATTTGTGGAAGGCATAGATTTTTGAAGAAATTGTATTTTGGCCAGATTTTTAGAAATCTTGAATAATCCCTGATAAAATTTGCCGCTTGGGCAGTTGTTGTATGTAGCCACTTCCCGCTTAGCGTACATGGGAAGTTTTGGACCTACTCGAAAGTGTATAAGATCGAACCCAGTGTAAATCTTCAGTGAGGACAATCACAAATAGGAAAAGGATACTATGAGTGATCCAGCGCGTAGCATATTGGGTTTCAGGCGGGGAACATGAAAGGGTCCTGTTTGCTGGTAGAAATGGGTAGTAATTTGTAGTGTCCAGGTGCCCATAATGATGGGAGTACCAGATAAAAAACATGGTCGTAGCACGGTGCTGGTTGGATGCGGATAGTGGGGGGGGGACTGGTGGCAGACCTTCCATCCTGCCCGAGGTGTTTGTGTTGTTTGGTTACCTGTTGGCCCAAATGAAATACTATAGAAACTTTCTTGGTGGCCTGTTATTTGGAAGGTTCGCATGGTGGAGACATCCTTCGGTAGTTGCGGTGGTGGGGTTCCTATGAAGAGCCCTATTAATGGGCACCGTCCGATTTGAAAATCTGTCAAAAGGTGAGGGTTGATTGTTATCCAACCGGAATGAGAGGGAATGGTTGTAATGTCAACTGGGCAAACTCATTGTTGGACATACTTTAGCGCAGCCATATTCTCTAAGCTATACTCAACTTACTCAACTTATTTTGCTTTTCTCTCAAATACTTTTTCTAAGATTAAAATCTGAAGCTCTTTCAGTGGAACATTTGGCAGAATTTATACATCTACGTGTCATGGAAGAAGTGCAATCGAATCAGTGTGATTTTGATGCCGATCCAGTTCCGACTATTCCTCGTCCTCAACATTTCTATGTTTTTGTAGGTTGATATCCCGTATTCCGAGCAAATTGTTGCTGTTGTTGTTTATAAGGCAAAACTATGGAGGGATATTTTCTATTTACTTCAGAGTCGAAATGACGGTCATCACATCCGAAAGATCTTTTTGCATGAGACTATGCTCACGGCACAAAGTGCTATGACGAGAGACGATCACTTGGTTCGTTAGAGTGTTTCCTTTCAATTTTTTTCTTGCTTTTATCATGCTACATTCGGGGCGCATTTCCGATTTCACTGTATTGATTTGCTATTATTAACTTCATTTTTTACAGATAATATTTTTTGACACGGAGCCGCCACAGCTCCGTGAGGAGAAGTCTAGCGTGCTGGAAGATGTTGTTCATGCACATTTTCTCAGCTTACCCCATGTTTGATCTTTATCATTAAGTTTCAATATCAAAATCATTCAATAATATTCAAAAGTCAATAAGGTTCTGTTTTACTCATTTCCTTCATTCACAATTGTGATTAAGGCACTTCGTGCCTCTTGTGATATCGAATTTTGCGCTGTAAACCAGCACTTTTCTCAGTACTTTTCAATTTTGACACTAACTGATCTCTTTTTATAAATATGTGTAGCCAGAGAACTCGTGAATAATTATGTTTCATATTTCATGTTTGTGATATTGTTTTCCTCGTCATGTTCGTTTTTTGAGGCACGGTTTCATGCCTTAATCGATGCTTCAGTGTGTTTCTGGTGTTGTGTTCAAAACGGTCTAGTTGCTGCTTTTTATATTATTTACGCCAAAATATTAAGCTGTGCTGTTTAATAACACCACTAGTTTTGAAATTTTATTTTGCAGTCACAGTTGCAGCTATTACTGTAGCTTGTTTATTCCATGAAGGTGCCGCTCCATATTATGAATAAAAATAAAAATAAATAAGTCATTTAAGAAGTATTCATGCAGAAACTCACACTATTATGTGCGGTCCATTAGGCTTGACCATAAAACATGTCTTCTCGAGCAGCTGGCCTTGAGAAGAAAGACGTACGTGAGTCCAACGTGAAAATGACACAATGCTGAACTTTTGAAATGCTACTTTTAGCTTACCGATGGCCAAAAGATGTAATTCGGGTTCCTATAAAAATGCTACAGCACACATACGCGTTGAAATCAAATTCGAATCAAAGATGAGTACGTAATGGCGATCCGTGGCGCTATCGTCGCGGCACGCCCACCCATTGGCTAGTCGCCGCAGGTTTTAGCCAATTAGCAGAGAGCCGTTAGTGCTGCAGACGGCAGCAGCACGAATGAGAGCCCCATCAATGCGGGAAGTCAACAAGGGGTCCCATTTCGGGTTCTGCGCCCTTAGTTCTTGTACCAGTGACCACCTCTACTTGACTCTAATTGGCTGCCTTCTGATTGTAAATTCGTCTCTAACCTTTCACCCCAGCGTGAGATCAATGATATTCACTGATCTCATCGTCAGAACTGCCCTATCGCCATCGCGGTGAATGTGGTGGGAAGAGGGGGGAGGGGCGAGGATGGGAGGGGACGGGACGTATCGAGATTTCGTTGATGTAAAGAGTCGAAGCCGGTTAAACGACAGGGTTGACAGTGGTTGGGGCTCAAAATGTCCTTCGTCGAGTCGTGAACAATTTGATGTTGTCAGAAATGCTACTCTTCAGGGGTCCTTCCTAGTCAGCGCTAATGTCTCGAGAAAAATAGCCAGAAGTGAATCGATTAAAGAAGTTGGGTAGCAGCTTCAAACTAAAGGCCACCTCTGGCCCGACTGGCGGTGAGGGTAGTGAAAGAAAGGCTCGCCTCTACCTATGGAGGGAAATTTAGGAACACTTGGCGAGTAAGAGTTTTCTATCAAATCTGGCGTCTTGTGCAAAGGAAAATTTGCTGATGTGCGTCATGGACTTTTTTTTTTCAAAAATTTATTTTTTCACCCTCCCCTTTGTATTATAATGGTTAAAGGCGAATGCTCAGATTTTCTTATGTCATGCATTTCGCATAGACAATTCTAAAACATCAGAAAACGAACCCTGTCTCCCCTACCAAAATGACAAGACCACCCGGCTTCCACCTCCACGATCCTCTTTAAGAATCTCTAAAACGATCCCCCATCCCAGCAGCACTACACAAAAACCGGAAATACGATCTCCACTAATCTCCAATGCGACTCCCCCTGTCCGTTGAACATGACGCAATGGACAGTTGGTCCTTTTTCGAGTATGTCGCACAAACGCCATTGCGATTCGCAGTAGATGTGAAATACACGGCTTAGCTTGAAGGGCTAGGCCGACGAATTCATCTCACTTTTTTCATATTCTCAGAAGACTGCGTTTACAAGCCCTACTCGTAGGAAAAAACCGTTTGCTACGACTGATAACGCTATCCAGTCTTCTCCTTCTAGGGAGCTGTGGAATAAATTGATTTTTCGACTCTATTTGTGAAAATATCTCCTTTTCTTCCTTCACTTTCCCCACGCATAGGGCAAAAACTGCGCCGAGAACGAACTTCAGTCAGCGGTTACGGCCTTGCCGAACGCACGTCGTTTTTCAAAAGGTTATACTTCTTAGTCGAAAAAAAAAACAATCGGAGACAACAATTGAACACAAAGGACAAAGAGTAGGAGTAAAGGGCGTGCCGTGCATTTCGCCAGTCACTTTCACGTCACAGGTAAAAACTAACGGTGTGGCCGCTGGAAAACGTGAGAACGTTCGTGTTGTTATGTGGCGTGGTCGAGCGTAGTTCTCAGTTCTTAGCAGTGACGTAAGAGAACTTTACAATACGCACTTCACTCTGTGCTGTTCTTTCCTCCATTACCTGTACCCATTTTGCACTATCGATTACACTTCACAGTACGCGATAGATGGTAGAGGTCGAACACCCGATAGAAAACTCAAATTGGAATTGGAAGTGAGTGCGTGGCGCATCCCAACACACACGAGCTTCGGTCAGCGTTGTTAACTCTTAACTTGCACTTTTGTGGCAAACTAAAGCAAAATGGCCAGTGAATAGTGCTGACGAACTCTCCGGACAGCCAAGTCCTAACAGATGCCTTCTGTGTCGGTTCAACTTTACCGCTCGAAATGATTAGCTGGACAAGGACCATAACTTTTGGGCCCTTCTAAGTCATCATAGCCTTGAATGCATTCACCTTATACAGATCTTTCGAAGGAGACGTGTAGTGGGGTCTATCCGTCATTGGAGGGGGGGAGGCGTGAGCGGGAGGAGGCCAAGGGCGAGCATTTATTGGAGAACGGAGTTAAATTGGCTATATTTTACACTCCCACGCGATTTCCTTTGTGAATTTTAGGACCGCTTCACCCACCTGAAGGGGTTCACCCACACTACTACGCTAATGCTCACCAACATCACTACAGGATATGCGTATACTTGATAGATGCACACACCGCAGCTTCTTCCAGAACTGCGCTTGATTTGTGCGAGAGGACGAGGGGGGGGAGGGGATGGGCAAGCCACTGAGGACGAGTGCATTTAATGGAAGAAAATGGCAAATGGCGTATAACATTACCCATTTCACGCATTTTTTGTGGAAATAGAAAAAAACACTTAAAACTTCTTTTGTCTGTGACCCTCAAGCTGACCCAAATAGACTCACTGTTGAGACTTTTTGGCGAGTGTGTTGACAGTGTCGTATCACCAAGGTGTGTGTGCCCCCCCCCTCACAAATTACACCACAACATCGGGTGGTGAAAGACCATCCGATTGATCATGATGTTCTTGCTCATCTAGGACCCTGACTCTCCTATGTGCTTTTTTGAAGCTCATAAACATTTAGTTTTTAGTCATATTGTTGAATGTGGTAGCCGAAGAGATGCTACAGAGGTCGGTTGCCTTGTTTCCATGCTCATAAGAGCGTATGTATTATATGTAATCAATAAACAAACAAATAAAAAATATGCGCTATTCTTGAGGGGTAACGGCGTTACAAAGGTGCTGTTGGCACTGAAGGAGCATGTATGTGGTTCATTAGGTCTGCGCTACCAAATTTTATGGATGCGTATCCCGTGACGAAAATGGGTACCCGAAGGAGGTCCCACACGGCGCGCGGACGGAGACGTCAAGAGTCCCCACGACCGCGCGCCAAAACTAGGGTTCGAGCCGCGGAGCGACGGGTGGCTGGCGTTTCTGCAGTTAGATCATGGCAATTTGCCAAGTTCAGGACCCGCCTCTCTTCACGATCGATACAACACTTTTTTGTTCTGTCTGTCTAGTCCCTTTTTGCTATTTGTTTTTGCTTAGTCCTAGCTAATAGCCACGTTCCAACCTGTAAGGACATGTAGCCGCCGCGTGCGGTGACCTACTTTCGCTGGCGCGCGGCGCCAAGAAGGCAGAGTCAGCGGACGAGTCGCAGCGCGCTGTTGTGCGATGTAGGACGTATATTGAGACACTATTCAATTTGACGCGAAACCACTGAAGTATGCGGTGCGACTCGTCCGCTGACTCTGCCTTGTTGCGCTCGAAGGACCTCCTGTCGAGTACCCCACGAAAATCGAACCTTTCCAGAAGAAAAACAGAGATTAAGCCCTCAAATGTCCTCAATGCCTTTTATGGCATAGTTGGGAAGATTAAAAAAATGGACGTTGCTGCTTATAAGGTCCTATGAAAGTCATTATGAAACTTGTTGGAGAGGTGTAACCCAGAAATTCACTACCAAGCTCTTCTGTTTGGATAATATTCGCTCGCTAACATTTTCTAAAAACCGTCTGGTATGCATAACGTTGACGTGACCTCTGTTTGAACAGCTAAAATATCGAAACGCTTCCGAGAATCCAACAGGCAGTTCGAACGTGCAGAGTGCATAGTTCTGAGACAAGAAGTGTCAGACAAAAGGTGAATATAGCGGCCAGGTTAATCAAAGTTGTCATTTTTACAGAGTTTGTGAGATAGTACTAGGCTTGGATATGAGATTGTACAATATTAAATTGAATAACGGCTCGACGCCACAAGTACCCTCTGGTTCAGAAAACCAGAAGCGTCGAGTGCAGACCACACACCACAAGTGACGACGGCCTCCAAGTAAATCTGGTTAGTAGTGATTCATAGTGATAGCTGATAGTTGGTAAATGAGAGTTGTAATTAGTGACAACTGACAGCTGCAACAGGCTAAACATTCCATTGTGGAGGCAGTCGTCACTTATGGTGTGTGTTCTGCACTCGATACGCTTCTGGTCTTCTGAACATAATTGTGTCGGCGGGATACGCTCTCAACTGAATAAAGGATTCTGAATAGAGTTGAGCGCCCGGCGCATCTCGTACAGCTGATCTTCATGGACTATTTCATTCTTACCATAATTATAACAGTCATTTTCCCCTTCATAACGAGCAAGAGGGAAAAACCATAATTGAATTTTGGTTCTGTGAAAAATTTCATAAAAGTCACATAAAGCATT